ATTTTATGCTTCATTCTATTCATCTTCATTGATTACTCCTTGTGTATATTTTTAAATATTTAAATTTTCGGCATCTGTAGCTTAGGCGTTGCGAACACGCTTCATGTTGGGGTGCCGGGTTTAATTTGTCTTGTATTAGTTTGGACAGGGTACCGAGAACTGACCGCTCAGTAGACAATGGCAAACTGCTGAATGTAAAAATTGCCTATAAAAACCACAACAGCCAAAAAAATGCTGGGGTTGGTTCTGCAACGTCCTGTAAAGAATACATAACTAACTTTTTTTATTTTAAAAAAATGTTGGGTAAATAATTTTTGGCCAATTTTGTAGTGAAGTGTGTAAAACTTGATGTTAAAAGATTTTTTGGGGAATTCCCATGAGTTTGTGAGCCATCATTTTTAGCCTTCCTGCGGTGAAAGGGTAAAATTAACATTTCTAAAATAATAACACTACAGCACAGCTAAGGTTTACCTAGCATTCGTAAAAAAATAGATCCAAGGTCGCACAGTAGCTAGATACTCGCCTGCCAGCCTGAAATTCTTGGGTTTGAATCCACGTCAGGCCAGGATTAGGAGGTAAAAAAAAAATTGACCACGGCTCTCAAGTCAACCAAAATAGATACCAGAAAATGTAGTGGGAAGTAAAGGCAGCCAGCAAGGTGATTGATTGCCTCCTGGCCTATAAAAATATGTCCAGCATCATACATATACCACTGGCATAAAGAGAGTGCTTTACTTGACTTTTATGAAATATTTGACAAATAAAAAGTTCAAACAACTGTTTTATATGATTAAACATACAATTGGATAGATGAGATTATTCTGACTTTTCTGAACAAAACACCATGAGAAGATAACAAGGAAAATAATGTTATGTCCCATAATATTTTCTCAGCAAATAATGAAGATAGAAACATGTAGTTTGCACACTTCAAATTTGAAATATCTGAACTGTAATATATAAAATGGCACCTCATTCTAAAAAAACAAAACAAAAACAGTTACACTAAACCATTGAAAGGGTATATGAGGAAAATGGCTGTACCACACATAGAAATTAGAGAATTTGTGGTTGCGGAAAAAAATGTGAACATTTATAACTGTTTGTGTGCTGAGTTTGCGTGCTGAGTTTGTGTGCTGAGTTTGTGTGCTGAGTTTGTGTGCTGAGTTTGTGTGCTGAGTTTGTGTGCTGAGTTTGTGTGCTGAGTTTGTGTGCTGAGTATTAAAACTGTAAATAGGGTTAGCTGCTGAATTAAAGAGTTGAAGCTTTAGGAAGTTGGAGATAAACCTAAGGAGGGTATTCTTGTTGCGAACAAATGGCTGTTTGAACAGCATAAAACCTGACAAGGGAAAATATGTGCACGCCCTTGTTTTATGTTGGCTTGGCGTAATGTCACACAAATGAATGGAGATTGCACAGTAAGTTGGCAAATGTACAGGAAAGAATGAGTATACTGTCAGTAAATTTTTTTGCAAAGCAGATTGCATGTCTTTCACAGAAGGTTGCACTACTCACAGCACACTTGAAAGTCTCTCTTTCTCTAGCCAATTCTTTAGGTTTGAGGTTTGAACAATGGATCAACATATTGGCACATGGGTAGCAACCCATACGTGCTTCGTTCTTTCTTCTAACTCAAGTCTGAGTCCGAAGAAGCTCAGCATAGTGCACAGGCTCTGTAGCAGCAGCGAGGATCCTGAAATTCTTTGGGTAGATTTTAAACTCAAAATGTTAGCCCGGGCAGCTTTTGGATTTCCAACTGCCAAGAGATTTTTTTTACATGCACAACAATGCAAACGGGTGTCCGATCTCACTACTCAGAGACCAGGGGTAATTACTAGAAGTCTAAGTCCATGTGAAAAAATCCCAGCCCTACCAAGGAATGAACCTGGAACCTCTAGCACTCGAGGCAGACCACGCAGCTCCCTTCTCCAGTCCTTTGTGCTTTCATAGCCAATGCGTCTTCACGTCATGTATCCACATTTTCAGAGGTCTGCCTCTGCCTCACTTTTCAGAAACGGTACCCTCCATCACTGTTCTCTCAGGGCCACCGTGACGTTTAGTATGGTCAAAATATCTCGGCTTTCAGGACGGGATGCTCTTTATGAGCCACTTCTCCTTGATGCTCAGATCATGTAAGATTTCAGTGTTTTTTTGGTTTCTTATTAGTCCATGGTAATCTAAGATAAGAGTTTTTCTACAGCATTTCAGTTTAAAAGCTCTGGCCTTTTCTTCAGTAACCGAGTAAGAACCATTACATCCATAAGTTGCCAGGGAAAAAGTACATGATATGAATGTCCTTTATAATAACTGTATAGTATGATGGTATAAAAGAGGTTTAACTAATATTTATAAGATAATATTTGGATAAAACAATAATACTTTTGAATAAGCTTATATGTGAGACGTGTAAGAACAAAGTAAAATAAGTTTGGTATCTTTGGAGCAACCACTAAACAGTTACCTGTATAAACAGAGAGCTGCTAAAAACAAACAAATGTTGCTAATAATCACAAATTGGTCTCTGCAATACTGCCCACGCTTTCTGCGGTGAGGAGGAGGAATTTCACCATGGTCCATGTTCTTATATCTCCCTATGACACAGTGGAACACTATTTTCTGGAAAGACTGAAAAGTGCCAACAAAGAAACAATATAATTTTCCAACAGGATGCCAACAACAGTAAACAATTATAATAAAAATACAATTTATTTACATGTCTTTCTTTTCTGAAATAATATTCCTGAACAAACTATACTGAAATAAGTAGATGTCTAAAAATGAAATTAATGTCACAGGAAGTATCAATAAAAGATCATCTTGAAGAGAAGAAATCTTAGAGTACAGAAAAAAAAAAGCATAGTAAAAGGTCAACTTCAATAGAACTCAGAGTCTGGTAAAAGGTCATCTTCAGTAAAAGAAGCCAGAGAATCTAGATAAAAGATCACCTTTAAAAAAAAAATTGGAGGGTCTAGACAAAAAAAAAAAAAAAGGTCATCTTCAGCAGAAGAAAAGGCAGTCTAAAAAAACAAAAACATCAGCACAATGAACATGCAATGGGAGCCATAAGAATGCTACAGATGCACTTGGGGCATGGGGGAATAGATGGCGTGTCAGCATTACTACAAACAAATGTAGCACCACACTCTTCATCTTCTCCCTAGAGCAAAAAGCACCAAATAAACAGAATATCCCTATGAGATGGTAAACAGCCCACGTACCTCGGAGTCACATTTGATGACAGGTTGACGTGGAGAAAATATATCAACAAGGCAGCAACCAAAACCAGGAGGAAGACAGCTATACTAAGAAAACTAAGTGGAACCACATGGGGAGCCAGTGGGAAAATAATAAAGTATACAACCACACTTGGAATATGAGTCAATTACATGGTGTTCAGCATCCAGTGCCACATTTAAGGAGTTGGACAAAGTGCAAAACCAAGTGCAGGATTTAATCAGCACCCCTACTGGAAATGGAGAAGGCAGAGAAAACACAGGCACTCAGAGAATGCTGAGATAGAAAGTTGCAAGTTCAGGTAGAAAAGTTCCTTTGTATGCCAGACCACCCCATAAAGAATATATTTCAGGACCTAGCTTTGGGACGGATGTAAAGAAGCAGCTTTATACAAAAAGAATATGCAGACAAACTACTGACCTTCCCGAAATTGTTATCCACTTAAAAGTATTCCAGAACAAATCCTATGGAGAGAAAAATGCACAAAAGCTGAACACATCCAGACAAATGTGAAAGGAATATCCGACAAGTAAGAGCAAGACAGAATACAACGCAGAATGGCCACCCTCAGCGATGCAGATGATGAATACCCACAAGAACAATGGGTCTGAGTCTATACAGGTGGGTCCACACAAAATGCAGTTAGAAATGGTGGTGCAGGGGTGTACATAGAATTCCCAGATGGTACTAGGGATAAGTCCAGTGTGTCAACCCAGGAAGTACTGCCATAAATATGATGCAGAAACCCAGGCAATTAAGATAGCAGCATAGAAATTGCTAAATACCAACCTTGCCTCACAGTATGTGGTAATGCTGACAGACACAAAATCAGTACTTGAAGCACTCCAGTTTGGGAAACTACCAGAATTGCAAAAACTGCTGACACAACTCAGCCTTCAGAGAAGCATTGCAATACCGTCTCATTGTGGAGTGCCTGGAAATGAGAAAGCTGATCAACTGGCAGGGGAAGGTGCAACAAAAGAGCAGCCGGATGTACCAGTCAAATACCACCAAAAAAAAAGAATAATTAAATTGATTAGGAAACCACCAGCCCCAGCAAGACTATTTTATTATGGACAGACTAGAACAAGTCATTATCTTCCGCCTCAGAACAGGGAACAAACCGATTATGCAACCACACATACACAAAATTCAAGATAGGTGTATCAGCCATGTGCACTTCTGGAAAGTTGCCCTAGGCAGCAAAACATTTACTCCAAGACTTTACCGATTACAAATACATTCAGGCAAACCTTTTGGCCAGAAAGAACAACAGTGGAATGTAAACTCTATGGATCACTAAATGAGAGACAAAATGAGACAATGAGAGACAAAATTGCTAATATAAACTTACTTCAGGCGAATGAAAGATGAAGAAGACAAATGGTCAACAGAGACATTTTCTGGACATATAATCTGAAGGGATCAATTGGAAGTTGCTGTGACAACAAAAAGGTTGGAAAAGGAAAGTGGAAGAAGTTAAAGATACAAGACATTGTGACATCAAGGACCGTCTGTATCAGAAATAACTAACATCCTGCGATACACAACTTTGAACAAAGTGCTGACCACTGACCAACGTCATGGACTCTTAAACAGACCATTTAGAATCTTCAAGGAATGTACTGAAAGTCTGATGCAATAATACTCATGAAAACAACATTAAACAATTACAGCACAGCATCTAAAGCTGAATTACTATCCCATGGTATATATTTTACCACTGTTGACCAAAGCATGTGCATACTTTTGATGTTAATGATCATTTACTGCTTCTTGAAAGGACACACCAACACTGGACAATGTGCATGATGTACGATGTGGCTAGAGACAGAACCAAGCAATGTCCGTCTAAGTGTGCCGAGACCTCTTGTTCCTGTCACAATGTAGTCGACTCTGTGTTCATCTGCAGCTTTGACAATGGCCGGTCCAGGTTCCCCCGCCAACCTCAGCAGTTGGGCATCTATCTGTTGATCAAATGATGGTTCTGTTAATGATATGGGATTTGGTAATATATTTCCTACCAAAAATGTGGACATTATAAATAAACAGCTACAAAGTCAAACTGTGTCTCTGGAGATTGGATAGGCAGCAGACTAGATTGTACAAAAACAATCAAATATAACAGTTCTGCTGAGACTGGTAACAAACAAAAGAACTACAAAACTTTATTTTCAAAGGGCTAAAAATTGGGCACGCAGGCCTGTCTAACATTCTGCCCTTCCAGTCTATTCCTTGCATATAGTTATTCATTGTGCATCATTTTATACTTAATAATAATCGAGGTTTTTTTAAACAACATCCAAGTCTTAATTACAAACTCTGGAATGTGTTCTAATTATACTTACATTACTGAACTTTACAAAAAAAGTGCAGTAATAAACCTAATCCAATATTATTATCAGTCCAATATGTTGCATAAAATAAACATCATCAACAACAATTAAATATTGGTTACAATTGCCAGAATGCCTTCGACTGGCACCTTCAGTTTTAAACAATAACACCTCTCAGGGGAACAAAAAAAACTAACACATCCAAGGGAATGACATAAAATATCTCTTAAACATATAAATCAATTACTTCAGCTGCATTCCTCTTCTTTTTTATGTTCTCTTTTACCGCTCTGGGTGTCGAGGGAGATATAAGGTCCTGCTTCCTGCTCTGCTGGCTGCTTCGACCATAGACACATAGTTGTGCGATAGAGCTTTTCTGATGTTATCTCCCCATCTTGTTCTTGGTCTACCTCTTGCTCTACATCCCTCTCCTATTTTGGTATATGCCTTGTATGATACAGCATCAGAAGGCATTCTCTCCAAATGGGCAAACCATTTGATTTGCTGTCTGTGTATGTAATTTAGAATTGGTTCTGTGCCGACTTATCCTGTATGACCTCATTCCTGATTTTATCTCTTCTTGTCACTCCTGCAGTCATTCTTAGACACTTCGTTTCCATGGTTACTAATTGTCTTTTATGTTTTGTTGTGAGCGACCATGTCTGGCACTTGTAGCATAGGGTGAGAATGAATACGCTTTGTATGAGATGTCTCTCTGTGCTGACTGGGATTGCCTTATGCTCTAAGAGGGGAGCTAACTGTCCCAATACTTGGCCTGCTTTACTGCACTGGATGTCAATTTCTTCATCCAATTTACTATCTTCAGTAAATGTTGTTCCAAGTATTTAAACTCAGATGCCTGTTTAATATACGTATGCTCTCATGCTATGTTTAAACCCAGCTTCCGTTTATATCGCACTGAACTTGTTGCAGTGCAATTAAATCGCACTGCCATCTTGCTAGGCTTGTAGCAAATTCCCCAGAGCCCCGGTGGCCAGGACATTTTAGGGTGACCATTCGCATGGCACAAGGCAACACCATACTTTACCCAATCCTAGCAATTTTTTACTTTTTTCCTGTTACCACCTCTCATGAAGGTGATTTGGCTTTGAGAGGCTGCATTAAATAATTTAAAGCTCTTATAAAACCCATTCAAGAGGAAGAGCTTGACCCAAGAGAGCAAGAAGCTGTGAGATGACAACATCAAGAGAGGGACTAACCAGCCTGAGAGAGTGTACAACTAGGAAGACATAGTCTGAAGAGATCAACTGTAAGATATTGTGACAACAGGAAAGTCAGAAGGAAAAGGAGGAAGGGAAAGAAGTTAAAGAGACAAGATAACTTGACACTGTAGCATCGAGAACCATCTGTATTGGAAATAACTGACAACAAAATAAGCCACATCTGTAAAACAGATGTGCAGGCAAAACTCAAGTTATGGAACATGACTGAAGTCTAGAAGTGGGCAAACAACCAGAACTTTCTGCCAGAGTTTACAGCCAACGAAGGCGAAGAAGAAGAAGAAGAAATTAACAACATAATGAGACCAAGAATCACACTGCATAAACTATTACCTTTGCACGTGCCAGTTTCTGCTGGATCTGTGCTAAAATATTGTTGGTGGTGTCTTCGCAGTGCTGCATCATATTTGACACAGCAGCAGAATCTGTAGACATTATGGCTGATTGAGAAAATAAACAGAAGAAAGAAAATCAGCGTCCTTATCTCAGCTTACTTCTTAAACTGTATCATGGTTTTCAGCTGAATTAATTATGATAAAAGAAAATAGTTTTTGATAATAATCTTTCAAAATAATAGACAGATACTACTGGTATCATCATGGGCAGACTGACAGATATTTAGACAGTATGGTGGACACAGTTTAGCAACAGATAAACTTGATTAATTAAATATTTGTGTCTGAGGACCATATTCCAAAAAAAACCAGTTCAAACATCTATTACAATACAATGAATATGGTGAAAATCTGTCGATGAAAAAACTCAGAAGAAATTTGGGTTCATATAAAAAACAATACTCTGCTCTGCTGTAAACTCCAACTGAAAGTTCTGGGTGTTCTTCCACCTCTAGAGTTTAGTCTTGGTCCTTCTTCTTCTTCTTCTTCTTGGCGTTCGGTTTTGTATGCTCAGATCAGACCATCAGGTGGGTTGTCTCTACGAACTCGCATGTCAGTAGCAGGTCTTGCATGGTTCCCTACAGCTTGCTCTGCACACTTTGCTCTTGAGGCCAGGTGTCTTTTCAAAGGAGTGTGTAGAGTGGGCAGGTCTGCAGAATGTGCTCAGGTGTTTGTGGTCCTGTTTGACAGGCACACTGTGGGGACATTTTTTATGCATGTGGTAGTTGAGCATGCAGTGTCCTATTCGTAGATGGAAAATTGTTGTATGTTGCTTGTTGATAGAGTCTTGTGGATGTTTACTGTTTGTTAGTTCTCTCCACAATTCCTTGTATTTTCCCTTCATAAGTGTTGTGATTTCTGGTAACGACAATGGATGGATGTGCTGTTTCTCCTTTGTTCCATTTTTAGCAAGTCTGTCTGCCAACTCATTTCCTGGTATGCCGCAGTGAGCCGGGATCCACTGGAGAATGATCTGATTGCTTTCTGTGAGTCTGTTTAGCTTGCGGGTCAGTTCTCTTTCCATGTTATCTCGTGGAACCCTATGAATCCCCTGGTGGACTGACTTGCAGTCATAAATGAAAATAATTTTGCTGTTTTTAAATTCTTTTTACTCAAGCACTTTGGCTGAATGAATAATTGCTTGCTGCTCTAAAGTTTGTTGAGTCTTTTGGAGGCACATGAAGTTTCTACTGTGGTCCCATCTTGCAGCATGATGACGATCCGGCTCCTCCCTGTTTTTTTTGCTCCTCCAATGATCCATTGGTGTATACATGTGTCTTTTCAGGTTTTGGATAACAGTTTTAGGCATATTTAAGTGATTTTGCATAGTAATAGGTCACATTCGTCAACCTTTCTGTCTATGCCTGGAATTGTTGTTGTGACTATATAGTTAGGCTGTAGGTCTGTGCTGTATGCTTGGATCATTTCCCATGTTGAAGGATCTTTAGAAAGGATGTCACTGTTTTTTATAATACAACTTTGATAGATGGTGAAAGCTTTGTCTTTTTTGTCGGTTTTTAGTTAGGTTATTTGCTATTTTGTAAACGGGGTTGTTGTTCATGCATTTAAATTGTTATTTCAAAGGCTCAAGCTCTAAAGGCCATAAGTTGCCTCCAGCACATGGATTGGTGTGCTTTTCATAACTCCAGTGATGATTCTAAGACCAGTGTTCTGTATTGTGTCCAGTTTGTATAGATTTGATTTGGCTCCAGTCGAGTATGCTCCCATGCCATACTCCAGTTTTGGTCGTACATATCCTGTGAGTCTTGGTCCAGAACCTGAATGTTTCGTAAACAGTCGTTCCACAGATCTGGCTTATTTGTATGCAGACTCTTGGTTCTTTGCCTCTCAGGCAGATGTACTCCAACTTTGAAGGATGCCCTCAGTAAGGCAGTGGGTCTATTCTTGTTCCTCAAAAATGGAGCATGAGAACCCATCGGGGGAAAAGGGGGGGGGGGGGGGGAATACACCAAACATTCATTTAAAAAAAACTATAATGATGGCAAGTATTTGTACATGGTACGCCCTGTTCAAATACAGAATATATATACTATTTCTACCTGCAGTTTTCTTCTTTTATATCTTCCTCTACTCTAAGGAGAAATCATGAGAAGGGAGTTTGTCCCTGGCTTGTGAACTGGATGGCAGCTGTCTTGCATTCACATATGGTTGCCCTTCGCCTGGGTACATGGACCACAGAACCATGTAATATCGCCCTGGGACTACCCTACGGTTCTGCAATTTCACTAGTGCTCTTCAATGTGTAAACAAGCAAGACTGCAGAACTTGAAGCACCAGGTGTTGGAAGGATACTGACATTTGCTGATGATGTTCTTGCATATAGGCAGGGGAGTAATAGGCAATGGATAGCCCAAGAACTACAAGCAACTGTAGACAAAGTGACTGACTGGTGTGCAAAAATGGGTGCTGTCATAAACTTAGAAAGGGCAGCTGTTTTGAGGACCTCTGGAAAACAGAATTGTAAGATCTAATGTTCCAAGCCTCATAATTAAGAGCAATAACATCAAAAGAGAAAGCAAACTGAGGTACCTGGGTATCATTTTCGATAAAAACCTGTCCTTCAGGGATCATGTGGAGACAGTTGCGGTGAAATGCCAAAAAGGACTCAATGCTCTCAAGATTATGGCAGCATTGGACATGGAACAAAGAATGTTCCAGCATGTGATCCTGTCGATGTTAGATTATGGACATGGAACAAAGAATGTTCCAGCATGTGATCCTGTCGATGTTAGATTATGGACATGGAACAAAAAATGTTCCAGCATGTGATCCTGTCGATGTTAGATTATGGACATGGAACAAAAAATGTTCCAGCATGTGATCCTGTCGATGTTAGATTATGGACATGGAACAAAGAATGTTCCAGCATGTGATCCTGTCGATGTTAGATTATGGACATGGAACAAAAAATGTTCCAGCATGTGATCCTGTCGATGTTAGATTATGGACATGGAACAAAAAATGTTCCAGCATGTGATCCTGTCGATGATAGATTATGGACATGGAACAAAGAATGTTCCAGCATGTGATCCTGTCGATGATAGATTATGGACATGGAACAAAGAATGTTCCAGCATGTGATCCTGTCGATGATAGATTATGGACATGGAACAAAGAATGTTCCAGCATGTGATCCTGTCGATGATAGATTATGGACATGGAACAAAAAATGTTCCAGCATGTGATCCTGTCGATGATAGATTATGGACATGGAACAAAAAATGTTCCAGCATGTGATCCTGTCGATGTTAGATTATGGACATGGAACAAAGAATGTTCCAGCATGTGATCCTGTCGATGTTAGATTATGGACATGGAACAAAGAATGTTCCAGCGTGTGATCCTGTCGATGTTAGATTATGGACATGGAACAAAGAATGTTCCAGCATGTGATCCTGTCGATGTTAGATTATGGACATGGAACAAAGAATGTTCCAGCATGTGATCCTGTCGATGTTAGATTATGGACATGGAACAAAGAATGTTCCAGCGTGTGATTCTGTCGATGTTAGATTAGGGACATGGAACAAAGAATGTTCCAGCATGTGATCCTGTCGATGTTAGATTATGAACATGGAACAAAGAATGTTCCAGCGTGTGATTCTGTCGATGTTAGATTATGGACATGGAACAAAGAATGTTCCAGCATGTGATCCTGTCGATGTTAGATTATGGACATGGAACAAAGAATGTTCCAGCATGTGATCCTGTCGATGTTAGATTATGGACTTGAAAGCTTACCATATCAGTCAGCTGATGCAACTTGAATGCGTACAGAATGAAGCCATGCTGGTAATTCTGTGATGTACAAGAGATACCCCAGTAGTATGTATACGATATATACTTGCACTGCCTACTATTGCAGATAGGCTCAGTGTTCTGCAAGCAAAGTCATATCTCAGAGTAGCTGCAGACAAGAAGCATCTTCTGCATGAAGCCATGGGTAGAGCTAAAGGTCACAGATTTAAAAAAAGGAAGGTCTTGGACGGCACAAGCTGAAGACACAATCAGACTTGTGTACAGGCTTGATAAATTTGTGCGAGGTGAGGAGTGGGTCAAAGTGTCTGAGCAAGTTTCAGACTCGTGTAGGGTTCTTATCACTTTGGGTCGTGAGCAAATGATTCATGACAATTTCTGCCCAAGTGATGTAATTATCTATATAGATGGCTCTGTGTTAAGGGGCAGACGAAGTGCATGGGGGTTCATAGCAAAAGGGAATAGACGTCGCTTTGTGCAACAAAACCTGGCATACGATATCACAACCTCTAGTTTGAGAATGGAGGTGCACTCTGCTGGCTTGAGAATTAGCTGTACACACATGCCGTGATTGTAACTGACTCACAGAGCATGTTCAGAAAGGTGGAGAGGTTTGCTCCATGCAGAGTAGCAAGCATCGCTTCAGAGGTCCTGGGTAGTTAACATCCTTTGGATATTCTTTCCAGGTTATGCCGGTGTGTTGGGAAATGAGCAGACAGGTAGACTGGCCGGTTCTGCACCACTTGGTGGTGAACTGATGTATGACAAGCTAGATGTTGTGAGGGCCCTCTGGGAGCAAGTGAACAGCGTGGAAGCGCAAACAGATGACTACGGTCTGAGGAGAATGGCACTGCAAGGAGTAACGAGGGGATCTGGTCCATGCTCAACAAACAAGGGAAAGACGAGACAGACAGACAGTCAGACAGTTACTGGTATCATCGGAATTGGAACTCATTGTTTGCTGCTGAAGATGGGAATGGAGCGCTTATGGGTGTGTCCAGAGTGCTATGATGTCGATTCTTGATTCAACATTTAACTCTAAGGTTTGCAATGCACAACACATGAGTGCTCTACTGACCTGCCATAGATCACACAATGAAAACAGAATTTAAACCTTGTAGCAATAACGAGTGACCTATGTCCAGCGTGTCTGAATTCCTTCATAATTCCATAATCTTTACAATTCTAACATTGAGGATTTCACATGGAATCATCTGTCTACTGCACCTGCGATGGCTTTGTACGGTGAACTGCACTAACATTTGCGATGAGAACGGTGGCAGCCTCAAACTGCAAGCAGTGACAATTATGTCCTCTATATCAGGGTCTAGTCCTTGCTGTTTTTGATAATTAAATGGCGATTCTGACTTTTGGCCATAAGCAGATGGAGAGGATGGAAAGGATACAGAACGAGGCTCTGTGTATTAAATTTGGGCGTAAAAGAGATGCGCTACTTTTTTGATTATCCAAGCACTTATGGACTGAATGGTTTGATGTGTAATAAGAATAATCTGTTGACTAACTAATTGACTACATTAAAAATGTACATTCTGGTTACATTCAAGATGGCATGTAAAGGTTAAGGTAATGGACTTTATTGCACCAGGTGTTACCCCCCCCCATGTGGCTCAGTCTCTCTCTGAAGAACAGCTAGCCGCCTGCTGAGATCATTGCACAGAGCACAAACTCGTTGGCTCCAGGGATCGCCATAAAAATTGCACCCGTGAACTGAATGGCACTATCGTGAAACTAACCCACGACCTTCAGAGCGTGAGGTAAACGGCTTAACCACTTCACCTTGGAGACCCCCCCAAAAATGGCATGTACTTAAATAATGCACTATTGAGTGTACAATGTCGGCTTGTGTGACTGACCTCTTGCATTAACAGTTAGCTGCAATTCTGGTGGGAGACTGTTAGTGATGGCACATATAACAGCTGCCTTATGCATTTACCTTGCTTGTGCAAGCTTCAACTAAATTTTGGAGGGACTGATATGTTTTGAATTAATTTTCAAATGGGACAGTAAAAGACATTCTGTGTGATTTCCACTGGCAAAGGAATTGGGGCTGTGGTGCTGTTCAGGTCTTTAGGCCCAGGATTAGAGTAACTTCCCTTGCCATTCATGCAATGTATATTATGTCATGTGACAAAAACAAACACAAGGTGAGGTGTCGGATAATGAACAAATTAATCAATCAACTCACAGCATTCCCACACATGCTCTGTCCTCTTCCTCAGTAGCCAACAAACAGTAAACATGCTAATATTAGCAGCTGCAACCTAACTAAAAGTCTGTCTATATTTCCTCTTCATTGCTGAATATCTTCCAGCTTGGTAATAAATGAGTCAATAATGGTCCAAGTTCGGCTCCCAGCAGCGGCAGAATGATTTTATCTTACCAGTATGCTGTGAGGTTGAAAGAGCCTCATAAAATGGGGACAGGATAATTCTCTGATGTTTAGGGAATTGTGACACTGTGTACAGCTACAGTAACTAACAATGGCTGCCTGGAAACAGCCAATGAAACTAGAAAACCTGCAGGGAACTCCATACGTACCCATACATGGCTGTGGAGGGGGGGGGGGGGGGGGGGGGGGGGGAACACATATCACCAGTGCCATTATAAGCATAATCCAGGCTGTGCTTATATGCATATGTACGTCCTTTTCAGCAGGGAGAAAGCACACTGAAATGTGTTTTCAAAACTATGGGTTTTCGTACACATAGAAACTTATGGTACCACTGTCGAAACCAACGCAAGACAAATTGTCTGCAGCTGGGATCGAACCCGGCATTACGAAGCGTGTTCACAACACAGATACCGACTGTATATACAACTAAAATACAGAGGCAGTCAGTGTTCTTCGGTGAGAAGAGAGGCGACTCTTATGACATGCTTTTGGGTAGGCAGTGGGTCTATTCTTGTTTTCCTTATAATAGGGCTCTGGAACCCACACTGGGGAACACAGCCTCATAAAACGGATACAAGATAATGTTAAGTTAACACAACATGGGTGGGGAGTATTGTCTGGATTTTTTCACCAGGGTACATCAGTGTGTTGAGAAATGAACAGGCAGACAGATTGGCTGGCTCTGAACAGCTTGGTGGAATAGTGATGCATGATAAGGCAGACGTGGTTAGTGGGAGAGCATGTTACATTTCAGAGAAGCAGATGGATCACCAAAGTCTGGTAAGATTGATGCAGGTGGGGGGAGTGACGAGAGGTTCTGGCAGATGCTCAAGACTCAGAGGAAAGGCAAGACCGACGTTTAATCAGAATGCTACTGGCACCATTAGTATCGGAACTCTTCACTGGCTGCTGAAGATGGGAACGGACCGCTTATGGAAATGCCCTGAGTGTTTTGATGTTGGTCCTTGAATCAAATCAAATCAAGTTAACACAGCCTCATAAAACAGGTACATGACAATGTTAAGTAAACACAGCCTCATAAAACGGATACAAGACAATGTTAATATGTTTTTCGGGAATTGTGAGGAAGGAAACTAGCTAGCCCCACTGGAGAGGAGAAAGTGAAGGCAAATGAATAAGAGATATACAGTGACACAAGTGAGAAGATAACATCAAGAGATGGGTGAAAAGATTGTCAGAGTGTACATCTGAGGTGAAAATTGTTGTAGATCCACTGCAGCTGACTTCCATGGTAGAGATGACACCTGATTGATTTAGTATTCAGATACTGGCCTTCACAGCATTCAGTGTGAGGCAATATGCAGAAGTAAAAGAAATATATGCTAGACTTCCCTACCCCATGACCGCATCCATATTTGAGACTGTATTGTGGTCATGTGACATGAGTCAGAAAGTTAAGGCTGGCTCTGTATGGGTATGTCACAGGACAGTCTGGTAATTCTGTCGCACACACTCCTGCCAATTGACACAAAAGCACCCAAGAAGAAAACGTCTGGTGAAAGAGAAACGTCTCTGTGGCCTCTTGCTGCTTTCTCATCTTAGAAAATCTGGGTCCATAAACTGTGAGACAACACTAAAGTTTCCAGATGATGAACATAATTAGCATGAAAGAAAATTTGTAAAGATATATTTCAAATCAACTTACGTGCCCACACAACACTGCTATAGTCAGAGCAGTGTGCTACAATTACTTTCGAGCCTGACTTCCAAATATTATTCAAGTACCCTGTAAATTGAATACAGTTTTAATTAACTTGTTCTCAGGATCCCTTTTTTATACACAATTTCAAAAGTACTTGCATACTGTAACTGTCATAATTCAAGCACTATATCAAAGAAGGGTGCTTTATTAATATTCTACCCCAAACAGGGGAAATCCACAGGTCACAGGACAGTCCAATATTTCAGGGGGTGGTAGATAGGCTGCATGCAGTTGTGGGACCTAGGCTGCATGCAGTTGTGGGACCTAGGCTGTAGGTAGGTTGGGGTTAGGGCCAGTTCTATATGTTTTAGAGTCATTAAAAACATCAGAAAGCTGAGAAATCCAGTCTTACCACCCTCTAAAATGTTGGACTGTCCTGTGACATCAACTGGGGGTAGGATAATAATAAAGCACCCAAAGAAGATCTTAGCATGATAAAACAATTGTTAGTATATTTACCAAGAACAATATTTTGTACATAAGACATTAATTTGGCAAATCAAATTAATAACAACCCAGATAACTTTAAATATTCCTAAAGATAGATAACAAAATCTAAAGAAATGGGTGTTTTTTTGCAAAGGTGAATGGACACTGTCACTGTCTGAAAACAGACAGCCTTGTGTAATGTCACAACATCCAGTATGATTATGGCAGGTGGAGGCAGAAACAGCAACTTTCTGATGGTTTGAGAGCAGCATGATCAACACAGCTGCTGACATGTTATAATTGTAAAAGACTCACAGAGCATGCTTAAGAAAATAGCATCCTACATCTAGAATGGCTTGTTTCACTGTACAAGACTTGGATAAGGAACATATCACTGACTCTTTGTTGTCCTGGACACTCTGGTGTGTGGGGTAATGAACAGACTGATAGATTAGCTGAGGGAAAAACAAAGAAGAACTTTTAATCACATTGCAGCTGGCAATATTAGCACAGAAACTCTTCGTTGGCTTCTGAGGAAGGAGACAGAGATGGAGGCTAAGTGCTGTGATGTCAATTCTTGACTCGTTCATTCATTATCAGTATCATTATAATATATTATACATAACATTTATAATCTTTAATCTTAAACTGGTTATGATCCACACAAAATCTATACAATATTAGGTTCTAATCACGTTGAGTGGCCCACAGTGAGAGTGACTTTCCTTCTCATTGATGCCTCAATCTGGTGTAGCACTTGCACTATGTCGCATCCTAGGTCGCACGACTGTATGCAGCGTATAATAGAGGCTGCATCAAGTCATGGGACTGAGGCTGTGGAGTAGGAGGGTTGGGGTTAGGCCCAGTTGTACATGTTTTGGGACCGTTAAAAGCGCTCACAGCATAGAAGACGTGATATCGCTGGCCGCTGACAACAAGGAGTAAAATACGACTCGCTATGCCTGAAACCCCTGCGACATAGTGCAAGCGCTACACCAGATCAAGGCATCAATGGAAAGGGAAGTCACTCTCATTGTGGGCCACTTATCGCGTAATGTACCCAATATTAAATAGCCACAAGTGTCAGACAAACATAAATATCCAATATCAGAGAAGACAATAATTATATATCCTAAATATAACCTAGAAGGTAAAAATAAAAGTAAAGGTTCCGTTTCCACACATTCAGGTGTATAGGGCATTAGGGCTAGATCTATATTTTATAGACCAATCAGCACTCTGTGAGTTGACGTGGTCAACATCGCACTTCCTACTTTTACTTCTCAGGACTTTTACCTGGTACCCACTCAAGGCTGGGTCAGCTTGAGAGCCAAGGTCATTTCTGAAAAATAGTATGGTTCCACTCGGACTCAAACCCACAACCTACAGATCCACAGGTTTTAAGCAATTACACAACAGCAGCTCCGAAACCAGAAGGGCTGGATTGGATATTGTTGAGTAAACTGCCCCCCCCCCCCCCCCCCAAAAAAAAAAAAAACTGATAATAACTGCCTTTATCATACCATTTTTGTATTGTAGGCGGGGGGGGGGGGGGGGGGTGGGGTCTTTAAGCCTGAGGATTTAAGGCCGCATGGCTAGTGCTGTCGCCATGACTGTTTAGGTGAGGATTTGATTTCGCCCCCAACAGAAAAAAATCCCCAGCCTTACTAAGGATTCGAACCCAGGTCTCCCGCTTGAGAGCCCAGCATTCTGACCATTCGGCCAGCCGCTCCTCGCTGAGTAAACTACTACTACTACTAAATTAGGAAGCTATGGTGGTCATGTTAAGGGTCATGGCGGCCTAGAGAGAGCACTGGGATGGAGGGTGCTGTTTCTAGAAAATGAAGCAGAGACTAACCTCCATGAATGTCGACACAAAATGTTGAAGATGCATTGGCTATGAAAGCATATAGGGCTAGAGAAAAAGAAACTTTCAGACATGTTGTAAAGACAGCAACAGCATTCTGTAAAGGATCTGCTGACTGATGAAAATGATGACAACTAAACTGAGGTCAGCAGACAGACATATATCAACAATGAGGTTTGTATAATTGATAAGTTAAGTCTTCTTCCTCTTCTTTCGTTCGCCTGAAATAAGTTGTCTATATCAGCAATTTTGTCTCTTGTATAAATTTCACTGTTGCTGTTAGTTCATTCAGTGGTCCATAGAGTTTACGTTCCACTGTTGTTCTTTCTGGCCAAAAGGTTTGCCTTAATATGTCAAATTCGGTGCAGTCCTGAAGTACATGCTCTGCTGTTGGGGCACCTTTCCACAGATGCACATGGCTGATACACCTATCTTAAATTTTGTGTACATGTGGTTACGAATAAGTTAAGTGATAACTGACATAATGCCACATAACTCACAGTCGAGGGCGCTGAAGGACTGGTCACTTCCATCCACGGCAATCAGCACAGCCATAATGTCTCCTCCCCGACCATCCCTCTGGCCACCGACAGCTTGAGAAGATGCAGCATCCGCCATGTTGTTTCATCAAATAGTTAACTCCCAGCTACCTTATGGTTTTTACAACAAATTCTGTTTAACGAAAATGGAAAGTGTATTAACTCATGGAGTCCCAGGCTATTGTTATTTCAACACTGTCTATTCCCAATGTTTTATATCAGTTTTAAAGAGCTGAAAAATTACAGCTTTGAGACAAAAAGAGTGAAGAAGGAGTTATAGTAATAACTAACATAGAATGGGTTAACTTAAAAGAAGAATGAAACTGAAAAATTACAGAAATGTACATGATACAAAGAATAAGTGGGGATATAAAGAGAAACCTATGGAGGTACAGTGCGTTCTCAGCTACTGAAACAGTTCAACAGCTAAGTCAGTCCTGAAAAACATTTGATCATATAAATAATGGACAGAAGAAATAACAAAGCACAGTTAAGCTTCTATAAACCATCACCGGCTTGGCTGTGATGGATATTCAAATAGATGGATTACAGAAATCTCTTAATACATACGCACAGTAACATGATTTCACTGCAGGCTTAGGATAAAAATTAAAATAAAACCTTTTAAAAGTGAATAATGCATACATATACATTGTATTAAATTTTTCAAACCTATCAATATAAACGTCAGCATAAGAGAAATAATGTACAGAAATGTATTTCAGTACTATAAAAATACGTTACTTTAAAATAATCTCTTATCTCCTTCTGTGCTCAAGCTTTCAGTGTGGTGATGTTTAACAGTCAAGCTTTGATGAGAGATAGCTTTAATATATACCTCACAGAAAGCATACAATGATAACAAAGTCGGCTGGTACAAAGAAAATAAATATTTATAAAAAAAGCAATATTCTTCAGGTCTAGTGCAATTCCCTTATTATTTTGGAACATAGACTATAAAATTACGGGCAAACTGAGTGTTATATAAAGTTCACTTTTTGTGAAAATAGTAATAAAGTTTTTTCAGTCATTTTTCTTTACAAAAAAAAAAAGGTGCTATGATGTTCTAAAAGTTTCTCTGGAAAAAGATCTAAAGGACAGATTGTGTTTATATTTTATTTATACATTACTAAGTGGTTCATGTCCATTTGTTTTGGTGGTATGTGGAAAAATTATTATTTCATTTTACAAACTTCTCTAAACATACCGTCTGTTTATTTACTAATAATTAACTACTAACACAATTTTTGTGTTAACAGCATTTTAATATTATTCTTTAACAATTCCTGGTCAGTTTGATGTTTAATACATGGATGTTGCATGGCAGCTGAATTAGCATAGTCTGTTTTAATGTATTACACTTGTGACATTTTAAAATTGCATTACCACTCCTTGGGCCATCGATGCTAAACCCCCTGGGACTCAAAGTTAATATCTTAACACTGTCTATAGTTCGTTCGACAATAGATAAATACACATGTAAGCCATTTTCTTGAAAACTGCCTGTTATATCACAATGATTTTTTGCAAACAGCCTTACAATATCCAGGATGTCGAGGAAATATTTTTTTCACTAATGAAGAATAACATATGTAGTTTTTTTCTTCTTTACAATATATATATATATATATTTATCATGAAACCATCTTGGCAGACTTTAGGAAGGTTTACTTTAATTAGTTTCAAGAAGTAATGCACACTATGACTGATTTAACAGGGGGTCAAAGGAAATCTATGCAATTTCATGATTTTCACGTGCAAAGCCGCACTCTTAGTGACCTCTCACTAATATAAGACATGGGTCAAAGTTGTTTAGTCAAAGGCACATCCAGAAATTAGTGTTGAGTTATGGTGTCATATAGCTAGCTTATAAAAGCTGACATAGCCATCAGTTTCAAAATGAATTTGAGATGCAAATTTATAACTATGAAGAAGGTTACCATTTTACTGTACCAGCCCTTCCCTAATGATTTTATGATGGGTTATTTACATTGTGATATTCAGAACATTCACGATTGGCGCTTGGTCTGGTTAGAGTATCATTTAACCAGTGGATTAGACAGGATACAGAGTACCCTGATGTCAAGCAAGGAAGGAAAAGGAAACTTGAGTTAGAGACCAATCAACTTGTTACTCTCTAAAACTGAAGTTAACATTGAAATCACAATGCAGTATTGACATTTCAAAAAATCCTTCCTAAAATAGACATTCATTTCTGGAAAAAGTGTGTTGAGCATGTGCTCCGAGAGGAAGACGAGTACTGACACCGAGATGGATTACAATTTGTTCAGCCAGTAACAATTTTCAAAATTTTGTGATCGTCAGATTCGGAATGATTAAAACCATTGTTTCGATGAGTGGTTGAATATCATCAACCTGTTAGGTGCTTCTATAATTGCAACAAATACATCACCATATCTAAATCTGTCAACCATTATACAATTTGCTGTGCAGTTAAGATACACCCTGGGGTCTAATGGTGACCAAAGGAGAATATACTAACTGTTGCATACTAGAGACATGTTTACAATTGAACAAGGCAGACAGATTGGCTGGATCTGCATCACTGGGTGGTGAGCTGATACATGACAAGGTAGATGTGATCAAGGCCCTTTGGAACAAATAATGAGGTCAGCAGAGAAAATAGATTATCATGGCCTGGAGAGAATTATACACCTGGGTATGACCAAAAGGCCAGGCCGGCACACAACACAGAGGAATGGCAAGATGGACATATAATCATATCGGAATACCTTCAGTGCTGTGATGTCTTTGTTGACTCAGTTCAACTCAAATCAGTTGCATACAAATGACAACAAATAAATTTACATCACCTACCAATGAATTATGAAGACATGCCTCTGACAAAAAAATAGAACCGGAAATTCAGATGTTTACTGTAAAATCTAAAAGTTCACTCCACTTATTTATAATGGTTCAAAAAGATCAAAGGAATTGGCTAGTATTCAGCATCCTGAGCATTTATGGATTAAAGATTACCGTTATTTTTGCGTCATGGATATTCTAAGGCTGCATGCAAAAAATTGTTGTGATCTAATAGGCAGTTTTTGAGAAAATGGCTTGCAAGTGTGTTCATGAGAGGTTGAAGGAACTATAATTGTTCCTTTCTAATTATATTCTTTCTTTTTTATCATCACCACTTAACATCTAATAACTGAGAAAGATTGTTACCGGTACGTGTTACTGCTGACTTTGGTTACTGCACAAGTGAATAAAATAATAAATCTATGATAACATCTGTTTTCATAGCTATCATACACATTAATTTATTCCAAATTGTTTGCAGTTATCGCTTTGCCTGTCAACTCTGTTGACTGATGTTTAGGGGTTGTGATATTAAAAAGAACTGGTTCATAGTTAGACAGTTAGACCCACAATGGGCTTCATTTCTTTCCCCTGCCAGGGATTTGTCCTTAAAAGTCTTGAGAAGGACTACGCAAGTGTCGCCTTGCATCTACTGATTTTCTAAAATAACAGAATACACTTTATATAATAATTTGGCACTCCTTCCAATGATGATCCTGGGGGATGGGGGGGGGGGGGGGGGGATTGGGGGGGGGGGGGGGGGGGGGCGCACTAATAGTCATTTACGGTGACCCATTAGGGAGACAATCTATTAGTTGAGTACATAATAATTTTCTGTAATATTAATATTGCTTCACGCTAAGGTAAAGGTTAGGATTTGGGTTAGTGTTAGCCCTGACGCTAACCCTATTCTTAAACAATATTAAATATGAAAGAATATTATCATTATTAAGTGAACTCATACAAACAATAGATTACGTCCCCTAGGGTCGGCGCTTACAGTAATGTTAACTTAGAATGGGTTGGATCTCCTAAGGTCGCTGTTGCAAGGAGTGCCAATAGCTTTAATAACAACACCGTCGAACTGAACATGACATTATAAAAGTACTAGTACTATAATGGCATAGTCCCGGGGGACTATGGAGATGTGCCGCTGGCTTTGGGAACAGCATCTGCTGTGACTGCAAAGTCCGATGCGGGAATGGCAGTCTTTGCCACACAGGATACACACAAAAGCAGAAACTCTCTCGTTGTGAGGCAGTTTTACTCTCCGGTGTCTCCTCTCCACAGCTCGTTGTGTTCGGTTTCTTTCAAAATGTGACAGTCCGTCTTTCACTTTCTGTCTCCATAGTAGTCGATCTGCAGCTGATTTTTCCCATGTCTCTGTGCCTATGTTGGTATCTATTAGGTCACGTTTGCATACATCTTTATAGCGCAGCTTTGGCCTTCCTGTAGGTCTATTCCCAGTTACCAATTCACCATATAGGAGATCTTTTGGAATACGACCATCCTCCATGCGGGAGACATGTCCCAGCCAGCGCAGACGTCTTTGCTTCAGTATACAATACATTGAGAGTACTAGTACTAGTGTTATAAATAGTACTGTACAGTTTAACTCTCTGAGTCTCAGGGAACGCATCACGCGCTAATTTGTTTCAACCGCTTGGCCTAAATGACGTGTGACAAGTGACGGTTTTTAATCTATCACTGACCGGTTGCAAAACGCGGACCGCTCAATTTCAACTTCTTTTCGAGTTCTTTGTGTTTGATATCAGGCGTCCTCATTTAGAAACGTGGTTTGAAAGATGAAAATATAGAATATTTGCGAGATTTGCAGAGTTAATAAGTGTTTGTTTGGAAAGAATATGGCCACCAAGCAGTATTCTACATGCATGCCAACATGATAAGGCTTTAGAAGCCTTAAATTCAAATAAATCCGAAGTTAGATATATAAAGTTGCGAATTAGACACGTTTCAGTCATTTATAGAGTCAAACTTTGATGAGGGATATGTCTAATGTGTACCTCACACGAAGGGTACGATAGCAAAGTCAGCTGACACAAATAGAATAAGCATTAGTGAAAAGACCATTTTCTTCAAAGTCAATTAAATCTAGTACTATTCCCCTTATTATTTAGGAACATAGCTACAAAGTTACAGGCAAACTGAGTGTTATATAAACTTTGTTTTGTGTGAAGATACTTAGTGTTTTGGGAGTCGGTTTTCTTTACCCAAAAATGGTGCTCTGTTATG